AGAGGCGTCCTCATGAATATCATGTGCGACATACACTAATACGGCACACTTCAGTTTACATGAAAGCCCTAACACGCTTATCACCTTTTGCAGCATCCGGAAAAGTGCTACCTTGTGAGGAAATTGACCTATGTGTGCTGAGCTGTCATTGTTGGCGATGGGGTGCTGCAGTCAAAGCAGGCAGGGAAAAAAAGGTTTAGGTGGTGGAGAACTCAAATACATGATAGGACCCACAGCTTTGTGCAGCCGTGTCTATTGATATCAAGAGGCTGCAGGTGATGGGCCTCAATATAACTAAGAACAAGAACATAAAGCCAGACAGTCAGTCAATCTGAGCTGTAACCATGACATCGCAGTAGGCCATGACATCATCATTACAGGAGCATTCTGGGAGGAAGAAAATCAACAATTAACTTGTTTCAGTTTAACTTGTTCCACGATATTGGTTCTCTTTCATCAGTAGAACATTGCTTTAGAATCAATCGGTAAAGATATTTGGTGTGACAATAATGACAACACTTCTGACCTATCAAACTTTCAGAATGACACAATTATATTGTAGCCCAGCTTTGCACATCAAGAGGTAGAGTATAGTATGCATGGGGAACACAAAATGGTTTGGAAAACATTATTTTAGCATAGTTCTATTTTTCCAAAATCATATAAGGCCCTGTCAGACACTGTCCCGACTTATCACACTCCAACATATCTATGTTGCTGACTAAACTAAATCACTGCTGTCCCCTTATAAATACCACAGAGTGTATTCTAAGAAACTGAACAGTGTGACGTAAAAGTATGGAATGGCAGACTCATAGTGTGGTACACCAAAATGGTCTCCTCAACCATAAACTGTCTGCACAAGTTTATTTTACTGCAGTAAAACACATCCATACACTCTTAGAAAAAAGGGTTCCAAAAGGGTTCTTTGGCCATCCCCATACGAGAACCCTTTTTGGAACCAAAAAAGGTTATTCAAAGGGTTCTCCGATGGGGACAGCCGAAGAACCCTTTTAGGTTCTTGATAGCACCTTTTTTTCAAAGGGCTTGAGAATAAAAGCCAGATCTATACATAGTATGATATGATCATGTTAAAGCAACAATGAGGTCATCAATGTGAGTGTGACCCTCATCGGGTGGTGTGGCTACTGTACACCGAACCCCTTTCTCCAGTCAGACAAGTGGACATGGACACTTATTGCGGGCATCATTTTCAGCCTGTCACAAATATGCGCCTAGTTAGCTGTGCTGAATTCTGTGGCCACTGCTTTTCCAGCGCCTCTCCCTTTTAACTAGACTGTAATGATTTGTGCCTGAGGCTCCATCTTTGACAGTGGGAATTGGATGTGTAAACTATGAATGAGTTATATTATAGTAATAACTATCCAGGGACGAAATCGGTCGTTTTAACAGTAATAGACTATGGATCTGTCTATGTTACTGTAATATCTGTAGTATCTGTCAGTGTAACTGTCATATATGTACTAGGATGCCTGTGTTACTGTAATATCTGCACCAGGATCTGTCTGTGTTACTGTCATATCTTTAGTAGGATGTCTGTGTTACTGTAATATATGTACCAGGATCTGTCTGTTTTACTGTCATATCTGTATGATCTGTCTGTTACTGTAATATCAGTACTAGTATAGGTATGTGTTACTGTAATACCTGTACTAGGATATGTCTGTGTTACTGTAATACCTGTACTAGGATATGTCTGTGTTACTGTAATACCTGTACTAGGATATGTCTGTGTTACTGTAATACCTGTATTAGGATATGTCTGTGTTACTGTAATATCTGTACTAGAATGTGTCTGTGTTACTGTAATATATCTGTCTGTGTTACTGTAATATCTGTACTAGGATCTGTCTGTTTTACTGTAATATCTGTACTAGGATCTGTCTGTGTTACTGTAATATCTGTACTAGGATCTGTCTGTGTTACTGCAAAATTATCAGATGAATTAATGGCTTATTAATACCGGAATAACATAGGTACACAGACATGTAAACCGCTTACACAAAAATAGAACAAATTGGTATATAGTAACAACACAATCATGTGAAACTATTAATGAACAATCTTTATAAGGGATATCTAGGGCTGGCTCGCTCTATAACATCAAATAATTCATTTTTCACAAACGGATTTCACACTGATGCAAGTACACTGTGATATGAGTCGGATCAAACATCTGAATGGTTTTCTCCAAGACTGGAATTCAGACAATACCTCATAGCAGGGCTCCCGAATGGCACAGCGGTCTAAAGCACTGCATCTCAGTGCTAGAGGCGTCACTACAGACCCTGGTTCGATTCCTGGCTGTATCACAATCCGGCCTTGATTGGGAGTCCTATAGGGCGGTGCACAATTGGCCCAGCATCGTCCAGGGTAGGCCGTCATTGTAAATAAGAATTTGTTCTTAACTGACATGCCTAGTTAAATAAAGGAAAAATATATATAAATTGCAAACACCCACAGAGGAACAACGGTGTAGGTCTGTGCACTCCGCTTACAATTGGATATCAACTGCTTACAGTGATGAAAACCATGGGGTAGAAACATATAGTACAATAAACATTGTTTCATTAGTAAAAGGTAATTGTTATACAACATGTATTGAATTTCACTTTAGTTCCAAAGGTCCTGTATATAAACAGGGCTTTCGGGCAGGGCCATTACTTTTGCTGTACAAATCACTAAACATATTTACTTTCAAAACATCAGCAAACTGGTCTAATAATCTCACGTTTCACCGTTTGACAAAGATAGCCAATAGCATCAAAGAATAAAATGTAAGGAAGATATTTTCCAGACTCAACCTGACAGCATGAGAAACACCAACACGGTAAAGACCTCAAACTACGTTGACGTCAATTAGAAAATATAAGGAAGTATTAGTAAAATGTAGTTAATCACAAAGAAAGCAACCTTCACCTAGGCCTACAACCTTGAAAATGCGTACTTTGGATGGTGTGCTCTTGCATGCACAGAGGTGGAGACTGTGACGCGCATTTGAGAAAAACTATATTGTGAGAAATGGAATTGAGAAATGGGCCAGACAATCGCACAGCTATGACTGTGGCAAATACGCACGCCCTAATGTAGACCAGGTGTCTCTGTGATTTCTAGGATATCAACTTTTTTAGGATGGGTTTCTGTATAGCACTTTGTGACATCTGCTGATGTAAAAAGGGCTTTATAAATAAAATTTGATTGATTGATTGAACTGCGCACACTGCAATCAATAATGGCTTTCCCCTGCGCAATCACTGTGTGTCATCATGGGCCAAGACAGCAACAAACTTGTCATCAATACCACTGTTTGTTTGTCCTAAATAGTACAGAAACGGACATTTGCTAAAACATTCAATGATGGGCCTGTAGCCTATTGACCTCGATTTCCGCTTGATTTCGATAAGTTGCTCCTTATCAAATGAAACCCGTCAACTGTCAAGGGCGCAAGGATTTGGTTTGAATCTTGATTCATGTCTTAATACGTGTGCACTCCTAATAACATTTTACAAATGAAATTGAGAGTATATGGGCACGTGTATAACACGTTGGCCAGCTCGCGGTCGGCTATTTTAGGTGAACGAAGATGCTCAGAATTCAGTGCAGGCCTATACAGAATTCAATGTATTGCATGAAATGCTAATTCAATTCCAAGAAACCTATGTATGAAATGCTAATTCAATTCCAAGAAATCTGAAACAGTGCACGGTTATCTAGTAACACTGAAATAAACAAAGCGCATTGAGTCTGTGAGGAGTCACTGTGGCACTATAGCACATTTTCTTTGAAAATGCATTGGGCTTAATTACAGGGCCTGATCAAAGAGAATATACTTTAATTAAATATTGAATGCATAATACATATTACAGTATGTACAGTAGAATTGTAATTAAACATTTACATTATTATCGAGAATACCGTCGATTGTGACTGATGCCGAAAAAAACTATTTTACACAAAAATGCATAAAATATCCATATACAAAGAAAGAATGTCAGTGTATGCTGAGGAGGGAGGGGGCAGGCCGAAAGGCGGAGAGGCGGATCATGCTTCAGAAACTATATTCTACACTCCACTCTTCTTGGAAAAGAGCAAAGCTGCTGAAAGCTTTATAGGCCTTCCCTTCATCTGATGTTAATCATGATATTTAACAAATGAGTGTTATAATGAGTATAATGATATGATACTCAATATGTCTTTGAATTATAGTATGATACAAATCATAGGATGTCATGATTGGTTCACTTGTTATTTGGCCTCAAAATTAAAGTTGACGAGAAATAATAGGTTTTAAATAATATTTTATTTCCAAGTTCTGCCTTACATTAAACACGACATGAGTAATGCACGTTTCTATGCTTTCCCACAATACGATACAGTTACATTCCACGAAGACCCAGTCCTTTACATATGCTGGTATAGCCTTCCAAGTTAGAATACAAGTATAGTTCCTTTTATATCACGTTTTCCACTTTCAGATATTCATATAGGCCTATATATAACCACACATAGACATTCCCGTTGAATCCATTTCGTTTCCTTGTCCTATAGCAAGCATCTATGATGATGATCATTCAAATAAAAGGCAGATGTACTGTAGACAGCATTTGTATTCATGATGTTCTATTCCAAGACTCCAACAGAAGGGGGATGAATGTTCAATGTAGCCTACACGTGTGTTACAATAGGCCTGTTTCTTACAATTGACACAACTCAAGGCCCACCAGACATAGGCCTATAGAGTTTGTGCGTCACAGAACAGTTAAAGCTTACCATCACGCACTTTGCAAAGCTGTATATATAGTTTAGCAAGTTTTCAAAACTACGACACATAATAACTTCGACGTGGCACATTTTTATAGCCTACAACATCAACAAAAACACACGCAATAATAGGCCTATATAATCCAAGAATAACAGATGTCATAACACAAATAGACCCAAGTTGTGTAGGCCAACGTCACTCAGGCGACTTAACTGAGTCAAATGGATGATATGTTGTTATTACACTGCTTTGGTGAGAAAGCGTCCACGCCACTGTGGCACGTATACCACCCATTGACAATACTTTTCTGAAAGGGTGAGGCAGTGGAAAATGTCCTGGAGCTCTGGGCGAAACTGTGGCCTGCCTGGCTGCATGGGTATTGGGTGGGCTCAGGTCTGTAACCGCTCCTCTGTATCAACAATGGATCCAAGAGGCCCTGCGACCTATGTGAGGAGTAGTCCAAACTATTGTCGAATGTGTGATGGAAACGTGACCTCAGAGTCGACTCGTTTTGAAGCTCAGGGGATAAGGACTCTTGGGAGGTGGGCGGCTGAGGGTGCGTCACGGTGGTGGACACGGCCGTTTCGGCTTGATCCGTTACGTCAGGTGACCTGGCCTCTGCAAGGTGTTCCCCGTCCCCCTCGCGCCCATCGCTGCTTTTCGCGCTGTAGACCTTGCAGTGGAGCTTCATGTGCTTCCGGAGGGAACTTGGGTGGGTGTAACACTTCTCACACCCTCTGACCTTGCACATGTAGGGTTTATCACTGGAGTGCACGTGAGAATGCTTCTTTCTGTCGCTGCTGTTAGCAAACCTCCGATTGCAGCCCTCGAACTCACATTTAAAAGGTTTTTCACCTAAACGTGCAAAGAGAGAAATGACCGCGTGTTACGATATGGTTGGTGCCTGATGTGTACTAAACCTCTAGGTTAGGCTTGTGAACTCATCTAAACTTACATTTATATTGTTATACATTTGCACATAAAGAAGTGACGATCGAAATGATGATAATTGGGAGTTTATGACCAAGTGGTGTGTAGGCCTATAGGCCTAATTCCAAAACATTCTTAAAATATTAGAAAGTCATGTCGATTTGAGTTTTGGGTTCATTATCCCTGGGTAATGTGCAATTACAATTCATGTGAATGCATACATTAAACTTGCTCATGTTTTAAGACAGTTGTGTTGTCTTTACACTAACCTTAGGCTTAATATTAACCTTAATATAACCCCTAAACCGTAACTTCGATTGTAGGCCTAAACCCTGAATAAAGGGTAGAATTGCACAAAGCGTAATGAACATTTAATGAAAACTGTAGCTTAATATAGGCCTACACGGAAAATGCCCCAAAAACTACTCTAAACTGACACTTCTGTCGAAAAGTGTATCGAAGATATGACGAAGATAATCATGAAGATAATCAACATGGCAAGAAGTGGAACAGATCATTCCCATAGAAGTTTACCATACCCACGAAACTCCCTTCATATCGTCAACGATTTACCCCAAGGCTGCAGTAAATAGGCCCATCATCTACCAAGGAATATGTCAAACCGTCGATCTCTCCAAGTCTGACCCTTGTTATTAATGTGTTTTCTCGTCTCAATAAGTCCCAACAAACCATAATTTATTTCTAAAATAATATTTTTCCCCAGACAAACATTTATTAGAAATGTGATTTATTAATATTTCCATACATGCATCTGTATTTACTGTTTAATTCGATTAAAACGATACTATTCATTCAATCCAAAATCAATGTTGTCACGTAGGCCTACATTTTAACATCACAGCAAAGTTTGCTATAACGTGGCATTGGCATGTATAACATTTAAGGGTTCTTACCATAAAAGTTTGTCACTGAAGGTTTTTCTCTGTGTGTTGATTTAGATAACTCTGGCTACCAACGACATCATTATTAATAATTTTTTGTCCACACAACATTTCTCTTTAAGGAAGCATTCGACTCTTTTATTTTTTTTAAAGGACAACATAAACTGTGTTCAGTTATCTACGACCTATATTTTCACTGCACTTTAACATTTAAATCCTGTTAATCTCTGTGAAATTTAGCAGAGATCAGACTACAAAGGCATTGTGTTGTCTATAACATAACCTACATAACAACATAACCTGTGTCGTCATAACCTACTTGGCTGCTGTGTTCTACTACTACAGTACGTCTGGCGTTGTTCCTGCGCCTGCGCAGAGAGGAGTCCCCCTACTGGGGCTGCAACTGAGCGAAGCTTAAAAGCTACGTCACAACTCTCCGGTGTCCCGGCATTTATTTATTTATTTATTTAAGCGCAAGAGTGGGCAAAGCACCCAAACAAATGGGCCTGAAATCTACTTGTTTGCAGCAGTAGTACTACAGGTCTTCTGTCCTACTATTTGCAGTTGCCCATGCTTCTCTCCTGTGCAACTACCACCACACCAATAATGACAGGCTATAAAGTCATAACCATATTATAGAAACTACACAGACAACAACAGCACCACGAACAACATAAACAATGACAACCACAGACGACAATATGACGATATTAATAAAAAAATATTTATATTTATAATAATAATAATAATAACAATTATTATTATTATAATATAATTTCTTTAAATAATAATAGACTATGCACATTTTAATTGTAAAAAATCTGGCATGGCAGACAGTGACTGTCATTGAAAACAATCAAAAGTTTGTTCAAACAATTGCTTTTGCTAATATTTTTGTGCACTATAAAATGTTATTATAGTGTCATTATACATAGAGATAAGACTGAGTTGTGTTACACAATCTAACTTGTGTATATAATAATATAATTTAGTAAAATATAACATTAAACATTTAAAATGTGGTTTAAATTAGGTTATCAATATTTTCTCCGAGTAAATTTAGCCCCCCAAAATTTACAAGATTTTGGCAAATTTGATAATTGATTAGATCTTTCTCTGCCAACTTTTATGTTAGCTAATTTCTATTACTATTATTATTATTATCATTATTATTATTTACACTAATAGTTACATACCTGTGTGTGTCCTCTTGTGAATCTTGAGGTTCTCTGATCTTGCAAAAACTTTTTCACAGCCGTGGAAAGGGCAGGGAAATGGCTTTTCCCCTGTGTGGACTCTGACGTGGTTCACCAACTTGTATTTGGCTTTGAAAGGCTTTCTGTCCCTCGGACAATTCTCCCAGTAACACATGTATTCAGAGTGCTCTGGTCCTCCGACATGTTCCACTGTCACATGGGTGACAAGTTCATACATAGTCCCGAAAGTTCTGGCGCATGGCTGCTTCCCCGACCCCTCTTGGCTGTCACTCCACTTACACACCAGTTCGTGCTTCAGATTCTGTCTGGAGCACCTGAGGAAAGCGTCACCCCCTCCACGCTGAATTGCCATGTTCAGCGGTTTGTAGAGACCCAGGAACTGAGAAACAAGTTGTTGGCTATTTCCCCTGGGGCCGTTGATGCTCTGGCCATAAGGGTGCGTCCGGGTGAGGAGGTCCCCAGGTAGACCCAACATCACTTGACCGGAGAGATCTCGGGTTGCGTCGGAGGAACCATGGGCCTGCTCGTGATATGCGGTGAAAAAAGCATGGCTTCTGCTATCTCTATAGCTAGGCAGGTCACGATACCTTCCAATCCCGCCATGTTGGTTACTTCTTGATGCCAGTTGATCAGTGACGGGTGGCATTCCGGCTCCAGAAAGATTGGCTCCAATGATAATACCCCTAGGGCTGTGCTCTAACCGGTGGCTGGAGTATCCAGAGTCTGCAAAATGGGGAACCGAATGGTCAACATATGCACTGGACCTCGTCTCGTGGTAGTCTCGCAAATTGTGCGAGGGGCAGAGTTTTAAGGAACTGCCAGTGGGGTGCCCCATGTGCTCCCCTGCCAAAGGTGGCAGCACCACGCTGGGTTCAGTATTGCTCTCCCCGGGGTTGACGCAAGAAAGAGGGCAGCCACTAAACCTCGACAGGCTTGTCATGTTTTGCTGTGAGTTTGTCTGAGAGTTTGCAAAATCAACCAATTCTGTGCTCAAGATTTACCTAGAAATCTTGTTTCCATTTTCATTGCTGTTTATCATCTGCATGTGAAATTGTTGGCCGTGAACTTCCCAGTAGCAGGAACCAGACTCAAGTTCGTTAAAGTTAGTGTGAGTCCCATGCCGTTCACTTTGCCCTCTTGATTTGTGGCAATAACAGTGGTAGTAAAAATGCTCCGAAACAGGCCATGGTGCAATATAAAAGCACAGCAGGCAAACCTGCTTTTAAAAAAGGGCCTTTGGGATTGGTTGGAATGTGGTATGATTGACAGGCGCTGGGTTTGTTTTAAAAGGGACACGCAGGCGTTCACTGCACGACTCCGTTTTCAAATATCTCAGAGAAAATGCTTTGAAATGTGCCGCGGTATACACTGCCAAATGTTGGTGGCTCTTTGACTCTAGGCGCCACAATACAAGCGCCTATTCGTAAATTTCTATTTACTGGACATTTTTGTGTGGAAGTCTACAAAAGTAAGATATTGAAATGCAATGTTAAAGTATCAAACGTCAGAGCTTTTAATTTCATTTAAATGTTTATTTTACTGGTAGGAATAGGTTCCAAAATGACATTCTAGGTTAAGATTCCGGTTTTTTTCTTCAGTTCTGACGGGGGGGCCAAACAAAAACAAAGGAGAGTAGCCCTATACCCTAAAAAGACCTAAAACAATCACAATATCAAAACATTTGGCGTACTAAAAACAACAACAATATTTTGCTAAACAAAAAATTAAGTCACTTTAAAACACAATATGTGAATTGCTGATAAAAATAAGTTGACATGACAGAAGATAAAGTTTTGTTGCAAGTCAATGGAGCACAATATGTCCGGATAGCCAGACTAACATATGAAACCATCAATCTGCATGCACTCCGTTGCATGATCTTGCTGAATGGTGGGGGTACAAGGTTCTGGCCTCAAGGCAAAAGGGCAATAACCCCATCAAAACAAGCAGACAATTTGCATATGGGTTTCTACTAACTAATTTGGAAAAAAACGTATAATTATTTTCTTGATATTCGAACAGGCCTACACCTTGATTTTCCAATGGCTTTCCATAAACGTGTTCCATAAACCGTTCATTTTTTCCGTGTTCTTACCAGACTACTTTTCATTTCGCTGACAACTCTAAACCGATTGGATTTTCTCTCACGTCATGCTACATCACCTGATTTAACGAGCATGTTTAGCAAAGTCAACCTTCTTCATTTCCAGACACACAACTGTAACTGCAGTCATTCATATAGGCTACCGTAGCGCCTTTAATGGGATCCACTCTGTCCTGTTTTATGCATGTAGGCTACGATCATGAGGAGAAACTGTGATGTATAATTTGTATAGGTGTTCAACCAGCAGAATCTTTCACTTGTAGAAAATGAACAGTGAAAATATAACTATTGTGAAAAGTAAACTGTATCTCCAAGGGCTGCAGTGAAAAGCGGAACTCGGGCCATGCAACTACTCGTCTGTCTGGCAAACACATTTCAAACAGTAACTTTTCATGCCAAATGATTAGAGTTGTATTTAGCGGGTTTTAGTTGTAAATTATGCAGGCCAAAAAAAACAATGTTCCCAAATTAATAGTCCATGCGTCTTCGTTTGGTTATAGAAGGCATACATTTTAATTTAAGCCACTTGTGGGGGTGCACATCGAATGTAGATTTAATTAGTCAACTATTATTTATCAAGACTGTGTTGTCCTCTAACTTTCATGTCCAGTTTCAACATTGTTGTTCTGATGTCACAAGGGACTAGGCCCAGACAAAACGAGCGAGATGTCTTAACATAGACAAACAGCATTGGCCAAACTTTGTAATTATTGTAATGGTTGCTCGGCCTTTAACCTGGCGCCTTTCCGAAAAAAATGGCTGAAGTCCATTGGCAATATACATTGGCCTATACTCACAACATCACGTTTCAGTCACTAGCATAGTATAGCCTATAAAATAGCCTAAAACGGGGTTTCAAGGTTTTAGGGGATATCCTCCTTTCGAAATAAATTGTAAAACAAAAAGTAGATCAATAAAGTTGGTGAAAACTCACTTTTATGATCAATTATGCACATTGCCATTTGCCTCCGCATGCACCTTTCATTGAGGCCCACTATCTTTCAGAACTGTTGTCTATTTACGTTTACATTTTAGTCATTTATCAGACACTCTTGTCCAGAGCGACTTACAGGAGCAATTGTGGTTAAGTGCCTTGCTTAAAGGCACATTGACAGAATGTTCACCTATGCAGCTCAGAGATTCGAACCAGCGACCTTTCTGTTACTGGCACAAAGCTCTTAACCCCCTAGGCTACCTGCCGCCCCTTTTATTGATCTATTGACCAATGATATTGCATATGGCATGATTTCCTTATAGTCCTAATAACAGCTACATGCAACATACCCATCAACAACCCAACATCTTTAGGTTGTGTCCTCTAACATTTTATGTGAAATTGATGCGTGAAATTGATGCCTACACTGTAATTTTTTTTCTTGAGATTCAGTCAAAATGACTCATTTTATCTAGCAGCTGTCAACTACATTAGCGAAATTTGTTGAGTTGACTTTTTTAAAAGTTGAGTTGACTTCAACTCACTCAAAATGTCAAAACGTATTAAATCATGTTAAGTTACCAAAAAACGATGTGCTTACTCAACTTAGAAATGCACAACCATGAAGTCAAAACAACTGAAGCAACATAACAGTTGTGTTGACTAAAAATGTCAAGTTAAGATGACTTCAATTTATTCTCGAGGGGCGGAGCTCATTAGAAAGGTACCCACCATGCTTTGCAACCATACATTTTTGTATTTACATTTTGGTCATTTACCAGACACTTTTACTCAGAGCAACTTCAGTTAGTGCATTCAACGAAGGTAGATAAACAACCACATGTAAAAAGTAACAAGTACAACATTTCTGTAACTGTTACTGAGAATGTCATTGTAGTTAAAGTGGTCTGTTTGTTGGTTGACATTTACTGAGTGCACTGCCAGTTTTGAAACTGGTGAAAAAGCTCACACATGAGCAAGAGACAGATGGGAGCATAATGTTCCCTACTGAAATCTCAATGATATCATTGCTAGGGTTAGGGTTGTTTAGTCAATGTATATATAGTCTACTTAACTGGATAGCAAGTTAGATTAATAGAAAATATGAAGTCATTTCAAAATGTAGGCTAGTTATCGCTAATAAAACCTAAATTAATTCAACTATAAATAGTAAGTTATACTGACAAACTGTAAAGTTGACATTACTTTATTTTATTAGTCAAAGTAAATTTGGTATTCGTTAGGATAACTCTAAATTTAAAGTTGATATAACTAAAGTTAGTTTTGATTGCTAACTCAAGACTTAGGTCTACAGTTTACAGCTAAATTGTGACTACCAACACACTAGACAAGGGTCAGGGCTATCACTAATAGTATTGATTGCATTCAATACATGATACATGTAAGACGATCACAATAAAATGTCACACTTCACATAAAAAATACACAGCCATAGAATAGCAGAAACTGATATCAACAGTGGCTTATGAGGCCTGAGTTGTAACCTATAGCCACAGCAGAATCAACATGTACTTGGCTACAAAGAACACAAAAATGCTGTAAATGGTTGTTAACATAGAAGTTTATATTATGAAGTCAATTTTATGACAGTAGTTGAATATCAGGGCAATAACCTAATGCACAGGCATGGGTTTTACCTATACTTAGCTCTATTTAGCTTTCGCAATGTGTCTGCGATGATCGAATGCTGTTTAAAATGGCACCCATCGCCATGTTAGAAAGGGCCCTCTGTAAATTGCACGGCTGTGCACATTGTTCATGACCTGTTATTACTTAGTCCTATACGATAATCAACAGGAATCATACCCAAATAAGTGAAAAACTACTCTGCTCAGGCCTTTTATTACACTGTAATAGAGAAAAATGCACAGGACTCATGGGCAGCTTCATGTATTTCATAGATGCACCCATAAAACCAGCCAAAGTGGAAAATAAACTAATGGAAAAGACAATTAGTGATATCAGTTCATAGGTCATCATTTTGGTGATTTAGACCATGTTGACTCTCTGTATAAAATGATAGTTTATCCGTGTATGTGTAACCGTGCGTGTGTGTAACCGTGTGTGTGTATCTGTGTGTGTATCTGTGTGTGTGTATCTGTGTGTGTATCTGTGTGTGTGTATCTGTGTGTGTATCCGTGTGTGTGTATCTGTGTGTGTATCCGTGTGTGTGTATCTGTGTGTGTATCTGTGTGTGTATCTGTGTGTGTATCTGTGTGTGTGTATCTGTGTGTGTATCCGTGTGTGTGTATCTGTGTGTATCTGTGTGTGTATCTGTGTGTGTGTATCTGTGTGTATATCTGTGTGTGTGTATCTGTGTGTGTATCTGTGTGTGTGTATCTGTGTGTGTATCTGTGTGTGTGTATCTGTGTGTGTATCCGTGTGTGTCCATGTGTGTCTAAAACTATTCACTGGCACTGCCCTCTTGTCATGACTTTATGAAATGTAGATGAATTAAGAGGTTTAGGGTGAGGCCATTTGCAGACAGATGTTCCAATAAATCGCAGCGAGGGGTCAATTAGCCATGTTGATAAGCCATATCACAGACATGATTAAAAAGCCAAGGGTCAATGGTGCATGTCTTGAACTCGTAGTAGAGTCACTTGTTCCAACCCACCGAAATGACCACAAACACCAAAGTGTGCACTGTCATGTACTATCATGTTGGAAATGTGTATTTCCTACATTAAAGGCCTTTAATGTAGGAAAGACACATTTCCAACATGATAGTAAAAAGTGTGATTTATCTGTGTTTTATATATATTTCCATACTATGAGGTTGGAATAATACTGTGAAATTGTGAAAATGATGATAAGGCCCTTTTAGTGTAAAAGCTGTTTAAAAGTCCACCTAAAATGTATACCTATTTTGGTGGGATAT